TGCAGGACGTCTCCTCCTGCAGGACGTCTCCTCCTGCAGGACGTCTCATCTTTGTCTTCTGTCTCTGTTTTGTCTCCCTGTCAGGGAAAGAAGGCGTCTCTGAAGCAGCTTCTGCTCGTCTCAGGAACCATCTTGAACACAACCATTGCCGGGGTTTGTCCAGTTTCGCCGCAGATGTTTGGACTAAAGTGATGAAATGAAGTTAGCGGTTCAAAGAGTTGCCGGTTGAATTTCCTGTTTCTGGTCCTTCAGGCTCTTCCTCAGATATTTATCACCAGCTTCAGTCTCTCCAGCCCCTTGATGCTGACTCTCTGCAGGTCCTTCCTCCCAGTCCCGCTGTCAGGTAAGTTTTCATTTTTTTCAATAAATATCAGTAAAAATATTTACACAGCCCTAAAGGGATATTTCAGACATTTTGTAATAGTGTTCTGCCTACAAATAACAATCTCACCAGATGTAGGTTGCTCTTTGAGAAAAGTTTATTCTGATCAGATTAACGAACCAGTGGGTGGTCAGAGTAGAGCTAAAGAGCATCGCTGTACAGCCTGCGGCAGCGGCAGCTAGCTGTAGCACTTCTGGTGCAGCCTGGGTTCACTTCCTGTAGGAGCTCCATCACATTTCTGACAAAATAACCATGTTGTGTTTAACTGGCAGTGGTGGAGAGTTGTTCTTCCTGTGCACTTCTTTGTGTGTCTATCTGTTAGCAAAATATCTCATAGCCAGTTGATTGATTTAATCAAACCTTTGCATGCACATCTACAACTCATTCACTTTGGAGTCGACCTAATCAATATGCTACTTCTACAAACACGTAACTTATAGATTTAATCCAGTTCAAGATGGCCGCTGCAGCTGATCAACATTAGCCGATGTGTAAATGTCAGTTTAATAGATGGGAGCTAACATTTTGACCTGGTAGTAGCTGAGTCATCCTTATTCAGACCAACTTCAGTTAGTTCATCATTTCTGTAGAAATCAGACTTATTTCACCAAACTAGAGTCAGTTTAAGAGTTATCTATGACAGGTAAGATATTGTTTATAACTTTTACACACTTCAGATGTCCTAGCTATCCCTTTCGGCAGGTAGCCGAATCGTTGTTATTATTAAAGCTGTTTTTAAACTTCTTTCAGCTTCTTTAGCTGCTTTCAGTGTTTTCACCATCCGAAGTGAGGAGTCTGTAACGGGGATCCAGCTGTTTGATCAGAGCGGGAACCCCATCGGGTTCTCCAGAGCAGCCGGAGATAAGGTTCGGTCAGAGAACATTACCTGGTTCAACACAGATTACAGACATTAACAGACAATTACAGATTACAGACATTAACAGACGATTACAGATGATTATATATTACAGACAATTATAGATTACAGATAATTACAGATGATTACAGATTATTTTCCTGTTGGACCAGGCTGTGAGGGAGACGGCGCTGTCCAGAGCGGTGCTGTTTGGGACGACTGCTGCTGTTCCTAACCTGCTGGTTTTACTCCTACGAAGGTCAGGTCCTCCTCCTCCTCATAATCATCTTTCTCCTTTTCCGCCTCCTTCTCCTTGTCATCTTCTTCATCATCCTCATCATTATCCTCTCTTCATCACCTTATCCTCTTCATCATCATGATGATCCTCCTCATCATCATGATGATCCTCATCATCATTATCTTCCTCTTCTGCCTCCTTCTCCTCCTTGTCGTCATCCTCATCATCATCCTTATCTTCCTCCTTCTCATCATGATCATCCTCTTTCACATCATCATCCTCATCGTGATCCTCATTATCATCATGATGATCCTCCTCTTCCTCCTCATCATAATCTTCCTCTTCCGCTTCCTCAACATCATGATCCTCCTCATAATGATCCTCCTCATTATCATCATGATCCTCCTCTTCCTTCTCCTCTTCATCATGATCATCCTCACCATGATCATCCTCATTATCATCATGATGCTCCTCTTCCGCATCCTCATCCTTATGATCCTCCTCATTATCATCATGATCCTCCTCTTCCTTCTCCTCCTCCTCATCATGATCCTCATCATCATCATGATTATCCTCCTCTTCCTCCTCCTCATCATGATCCTCCTCTTCCGCATCCTGATCATCATGATCCTCATGATCCTCATGATGGTCCTGATTATCGTCATCCTCATCATGATCCTCCTCATTATCATCATGATTATCCTCCTCTTCTTCCTCCTCATCATGATCATCCTCTTCCGCATCCTCATCATCATGATCCTCCTCTTCCTTCGCCTCCTCATCATCATCATCATCATGATCCTCCTCTTCCTCATGTTGTTTGAATAACTGTTTTTGTTTGTTCCAGAACTCGATGGTTCCGTAGAACCCCCCTGCTGCTCACTCCGTGTTATTACCTCAGCACCGGGCTGGTTCTGAGCATGATGGTTCCGCTCTCCTTCAGCCTCTTCCCACAGCTGGGCTCGGTGAGACCTCAGGTTTCAGCTGTTTGTTTTGACTCGTGTCGACTTCGGCTCATTGGGACCTGCTTTTACAGATAAGAAGAGAACAGGTGGAGGAGGAGCTGCTGGCCGGAGCTGCTGGAGAGGAGTTCTTCTTCCACCGAGGACTCTGAGCAGAACCGCCCGCAAAATAAAACCTGACAACTCTGTTTCTGTGAAGTGTGTCGTCCAAGCTACAAAAAGACAAATGCTAGCTAAAAGTTGAAAAAAGCCAGCAGGCTAAGAGTATGGAAAGGCTAGTAAAAGCCAGAACTGACCCATTAAAGGTAGACACAGCTGAAAGTGGCAAAAGATTAGCTAGAAGCTAATGTAGCTAAAAGTGTCAAAATGCTAGATAAAAGCTAATGGGATCAAAAACATTGCTAGAAGCCCAAAGTAGCAAAAGCTAGCTGAACTTAGCAAAAGCCTGGCTAAAGTAATAGGAGGCTACATAAAAGCCTAAAGTATCAAAAGGCTAACTAAATGTAGCCAAAGGTTAGCTGAAAGTAGCTAAAAGTCGACTGAAAGCTAAAAGAAACAAAAGCTAATAAGACCAAAACTGACAACAAGCTAACAGTTAAAAGTAGTCAAAGCTAAAAAAAAATATCAAAACGCTAGCTAGGAGCTAAATGTTGTTTAAATGTAAAAGTATCAAAAGGCTATAGATAAGCTAAAGGTATCAAAGGCTAACTAGAACCTCAAAGCAGCAAAAGGCAAGCTAAAAGTCGCAGAGCAGTAGCTGAAAGTAGCATAAGACAAAACCAACGAGTAGCTGAAGCAGATTTTAGTTTTTGAAGGATTTGATCTCTGTGTGTTTCTATAGGAGGAAATTTGTAAATGAACATTTTGAAAAGTATAAAAGTTACAAAAGTCAGAGCACCATTCGCCTGAATGAGCCGAATAGTTTGTTTAACAGCTAAACTATCACAAAGTTTACAGTTCTATTGTAATAAAACAGAGAAATGAAAACGCTGACTTGGCGTTTACACAATACATGCACGGGTAAAAACTCATTTTTCTACCACAATGTAAAAAAATACAAAGTTTAAAAAATTAAAAACACTTTAATTTGTTAAAACATTTGAAATTCCTGAAACGTAGAAACATCGAATAGAAAACAAAGATGTTCAACAGTAAAACAAAGACGTGAGAAAATCAATGTGGAAATTTTAGACCTTCATCAGAATTTACACAACCGTAAAAAGATTATTGTAAATAAAACTAAAAAAATCTCAAATTTCACATTAATGTCATAAAAACAAACATTCTTTCATGTTGGAAAGTTAAATTTTCAAGAATAATTTTATTTTCTGAGTTTAAAAACTGAAACTTGTGGGACTAAAAGTAGAATCTCTGATGTGAAGTTATAAATCTGAGGAAAAACGTCACATTTAAAGTGTTTACGAGTTGTTTACGACTGTAAACACGAGGCAGAGTCTCCTGATGCAACATTTCTCTTATTGAGTGAAACATAAAAACGTCTTCAGGTGTCGATGGTCATATCTGTAAGAGTTGCTCCGCGGCCGCCAGGTGAAACAGGAAGTTCTCTGTGGCTGGAGGGAAAAGACGCTGCTTCAAGTCTTCCAGGGTGATTTTAGAGTTCTCACACTTTTCTGTCAGCGCAGCCAGGTGGGTCAGAACTTCTTTAGTCTTGATGGAAATGTCCTGCGGAGGAGAAGTTTTTTAATATTAGGACCGTTTCTTGCGCCGATTGTTCACTTCTGATTATTTATACAGTGTCATTTCATAATAAACATCTAAGTCGATGGTTCCCAACACTGGTCCTTGTGGAACGCCATTCTGCATGTTTAGTTGTTTCCCTGCTTTGACACACCTGATTTAAATTAACGGGCTTCTGCAGAACATGAAGTAATTAATTCACTGAATCAGGTGTGTTGGAGCAACAACTAATGCAGGATGGTGTTCCTCAGGGACCTGGGTTAGGAATTCTAAATGCACAAAAACGTTCATATAAATTATAAAACGTCAACTGGGAAAAATGATGAAAGAAGCTGCAGATTGATTGAATCTTGGTCACAACCTCCCATCCTGAGCAGCACAGTGGTGACAGTGGGAAGAAATGACTCCCTTTTAACAGGAAGAAACCTCCAGAACCAGGCTCAGGATGGACGTCCATCTGCCTCGACTTGACCGTGTTAAAGAGAGGACAGAGAGACAGGAAGTAGTCCAGGAGTGGTTTCTATAGTCCAGGTGAGGTTCCTATGGTTAAAAATGCACGTCCATAATGACAAATCTAAAACTGCAAGTAAAGCGCAGCAAGGTGAGGCGCTGAGGTCAGTTTGTCCTCCAGCAGTCTAAGCCTACAGCTGTACAACTAAGGGATAGCTCAGGAAACCCAAGCTGACCCTAACTATAGGATTTATGTATAAAAAAAGACTTAAGCCCAGTCTTAAAACTGGACAACGTGTCAGCCTCATGGACAGAAACTGGAAGTTGGTTCCACAAGAGAGGAGCCTGAGAACTGAAAGATCTTCCTCCCATTCTGTTTTTGGAAACTCTAGGAACCACAAGTAAACCTGCAGTCTGAGAGTGAAGTGCTCTGTTAGTAAAATATGGAGCAATAAGATCTGTAATATAAGATGGAGCTAGGTTGTTGAGAGCTTTGTAGGTTAGAAGTAAGATTTTGAATTGTGGCAGGGAGCCGAAGCTAAAGCTGGAAATCTCTCATCAGAACTCTCGCAGCCGAACTTTGGATCAGCTGAAGACTTTTGGACACCCAGATAGAAATACAAACCTCGGGCCTAGAAGTGATGAACGCACGGAGCAGTTTTTCCGATGTTTCTGTTTTGAGTGACATTGTCCAGGTGGAAGAAAACATTTTTAACACAGAAACGACACTGAAGTTCTTCACGTCAGAACCGGGGGTCGAACTACCGGACCGTTAAAGTTCTTGTGATTCTTCTCACCTTGATGACCTGACTGTCGGACCTCTCGGCGTCCTCGGCGGACCTGACGATGAGTTGAGCGATGTCTTTGTGTAGCTTCCCCATCGCCATGGCCTCTGTGGGGAAACACGGAGCGTCAGTCCGAGCGGACCGCAGCGTCCGGAGACGCGCGCCCACGTACCGCACCTTTAGCGCCCTGAGACACCGTGATCACGCCGTCCGGGAGGTTCACGAACACGTCGAACAAGTCCGATCTGTTGCTCACATCCGGATCCACGAATCCCGCTACATACCCTGCGGAGACCAGAACCGGTCGGCCCGTGAGTACCGCTCCGTCGGCGCCCTGCAGTCGAAGAACTTTGCTCTTGGTTGAGCGTTCGTCTACGACGGCGTTCAACTCGTGCCTTGACGTCAAGTTTGTGTAACTTTTACAGGATTTCATATTTTTAACTCTATTTTGCAGATCCGTAAAGAATCGCTTCGTTGTTCTTATAAATTTACTTCATCACTTCTTGTTTTTGGTTTTCTTGCTTCTTTTTGCTCTTAGGCACCGTCTTAAGTTTTATTAATATTAGGTTTTACCTTCTATTTTACTACGTTTAGCTCTTAGCTATGTGTTTGCTTATTTCAGCTTGTTGCTACTGTTTTGCTGATTTTAACTAAACAGCTGATTCTAGCTTGTTTTGTTCATTTTAGCCACTGTTCTGCAAACTTTAGCTAGTTTTTCTATTTTAGCAGTTTTGCTTATACTGTATTATCTGTTTTGCTTGTTTTTTGTCTGGCAACCTGTAGCTGATATTTTGCCTATTTAAACTCATTTTAGTGTTTGTTTTGCTAATTTGAGCTGATATTTAGCATGGGGGGAAGGGATTGCTACTGTTTCGCTAATCTTAGCACCTGTTTTGCTAATTGTAGCTGCTATATAAGCTGAAGTTTAGCTTTTGTTAAATTTGGTTTTGTTCATTTTTAGAGTCTGTTTCACTAGTTTTAACTAATATTTTGCTTTAGCTCTTATTTAGAATATTTTAACACCTGTTTAGCTACTTTACTTTTAGCATCTCTTTAGCTACTTTTAGCATCTGATTAGCTACTTTAGTTTCATCAGCTGTTTTGTTATTTTATTCTGTTTTGCTTGTTTTAATTAAAACAGCTCAGTTTGATTTACTTCACTTCAGCCATTTACTCTCATTTTTCCCAGAAAAAGCTCATTTATTTATTTGTTTGTTTGTTTGATTGATTGTTTATTTGTTTTTTATTTTTGTTGCTGTTAGCTAACAGCACAGGGAGCAGCTCGTCAGAAAACCTGCTCAGATTTTGGCGGGAAGCGTCCTCACCTGGACACGTCTTTAAGTCCTCCAGTTCCTCGTCCATCAGGTGGACGTACGGATGCAGGATGGACCAGTCCTTCCGGTGCCAGGTCAGTGCCGGCAGAACTCTGCAGAACCAACGGGTCAAGAGTTTAAAACCTGCCTCACTTCAACGTAATTCAAGTATTAAAGGGATAGTTCGGATCTTTTGAAATGAGGTCTGTAGAGTGATAATGAACAGTTATTATCTTACCTGTTGTAGATATCCCTTTGGACAGAGTTTGTCGCTGACACAACCGATGAGCTTATGGCTAGTCTGAAAGCAGCAGGGACCAAAGGGGACTGCAGCCATCTTGAAACTTCTCCAATCAGCAAAACCTCTATGACTGAGAGACGTGGTCTCCCCAGAGTGTCCTGGGTCTTCTCCAGAGTCTCCTCTCAGTCAGACATGCCCGAAAAAATGTAATAGTGGTTTACGCTAACACTACTTTTAAGATACTACCTCCAAATTTTTCCCTCGCATGTTTATTTAGATAAAACTATAAAGAAGCTAGAAGAAGCAACTAGGTCACAGTCAAGGTCACAGTTTTCTACATTTGTCTTGGAATCTAGCTGTTTTTTGTTTTGTTACCTTTTCCTTTTAGCCATCCTATTTGTTAAAAAAAAAAAAAAAAAACTGTAGTATGAGTTTTTATAACTGTTTATTGTTGTTGCTGTTGTCCATTGTTGTCATCTTTCTTTGTTGAAATCAGGTCTCTCTTGTAAATGAGTCCTCGAGGCTCAATGGGATTTACCTGACTAAATAAAGGTTGATTGATTGAACTAGCAGCAGCAGCTAGCTGTAGCCCATCCAGAGCAGGGCACCACAAGCAGGAAGTTCCTAATAGAAAATGTAAAAGTGAAATAAAGAATTCCAAATGGTGTGATTTAAATCACAGTGGAGGAGTTCAAGTATCTCTGGGTTTTGTTCAGGAGTGAGGGAAGAATGGAGCGTGAGATCGATGGATGGATTGGTGCAGCATCTGCAGTATTGTGGACTATGTGCCGGTCCATTTTAGTGAAGAAGGAGCTGAGCTGTAAGACAAAGCTCTCTGTTTACTGGTCAGTCTATGTTCCCTCACCTCTGGTCATGAACTCTGGTAGAGACTGAAAGAATAAGATTGTGGATCCAGGAGGTTGAAATGAGTTTCCTCTGCAGCTGGACTCTCCCTCAGAGACAGGGGGAGAAGTTCAGTGATCAGGAGAGACTCAGAGTAGAACCACTGCTCCTCCACATCCAGAGGAGACAGTTGAAGTGGTTCATCTGGTAAAGATGCTCCCTGGGTGCCTCCCTAAGGAGGTGCTTCAAGCATATCTGACTGGGAGGAGACCCAGGACACGCTGGAGAGACTACGTCTCTCTTTTGGTCTGGGAACACCTTGGGGTCCTCCCAGAAGAGCTGGAAGAGGTGGCTGGACCTCCCTGCTCAGATGCTGCCCCGAGACCTGAGTCCAGAAGCAGAGGAAGATAATGGATGGATGATGGATGGATGGATGATGGATGGATAATGGATGGGTGATGGATGGATGATGGATGGATGATGGATGGATGATGGATGGATAATGGATGGATGATGGATGGATGATGGATGGATGATGAATGGATGATGGATGGATGATGGATGGGTGATGGATGGGTGATGGATGGATGGATGATGGATGGATGATGGATGGATGATGGATGGATAATGGATGGGTGATGGATGGGTGAT